TGGAAAAGTAGATACGACGGAGACGTATCAAGGCGTATCAATTATGAACATGTAACTTAAAGGATGAAAGAAACAAACGCTGGCCTGATACCCGCAATGAGATGTTTGTAGGCTGTCGGGCTAGTTGGTTGGTGGAGTTTGCTTGGGTGTTGTTTCAATAGACAGATGCGTGCCTATGTCACTACTGGAATCTGGTATTTTGCCGTCTGCCACCTCTTTGCCGTCTGCCAGCTGACGGCAAAGAGGTTCTTTGCCGTCCACTTTGAGGAAGCCGACGACAAAGAAAGTGCAGATGGCAAAAAGGGTATTTTTTGTTAGCTGCTTCTTTGCCGTCAGCCCAACAAAGAGATAAAAGGCAGACGACAAAGAGCCAGCTGGGCCCCACAGGGCACGGCGTGGCTAGGTCAGCTTCTTTGCCGTCTGCTAGCGGACGATAAAGAGGTGACTACTTTGCCGTCTGCTAGCAAACGGCAAAGAGGAGACGTGGGCCAGCCCTAACGGAAGGCCCACTTAACGGGCCGTGGCCGTCTCCCTCTATCTCTTTCTCTCTCCCTCACGCGCGCCCGCCTCTCTCCTCCTGTCGCCGCCGCCGCAGTCGCCGCCGTAGTCGTCGTCGCACCGCTACCGCCGCAGTCGCCGCCACCTCGCCGCCAGACCCCTCCCCACGGCCCATGCGCCGCCCCACCGCGCGAACAGGAGCGAGGCCGCGGCGGCTGCCCTGCCGCGCCTCGTCGTCGGAGAGGCCTGCGCCGGCCCGCCTTGGTGCCGGACCCCTCCCCGCGGCCACTACGCCGCCCCGCCTTGCTGCCGGACTCCTCCCCACGACCCCTGCACCGCCCCGCCCCGCCCCACCGGACCCCTTCACCTTCGTCTGCCACTGGCGCAGCCCCGATCGTTCCTTCACCTCCGTGGTAACGGTATTTTTCTTCTTATTTAGCCTATTTAGTCCATTTATGACATCATTTAGCCTATTTAGTCCACAAATGACATAATAAGATGAAGAAAATCAAGGAAGAGGAAGAAAAGAAGGAATAGAAAGAAAAGAAGAAGAAGAAGAAGAAGAAGAGGCATAATAACCTTGCTAACCTCATAAATGTCATACACTTAGCTTGTTGTCCTCTAAAATGACACAATAAGCTTAGTTAGGAAAAAATGGCATAATTAGCTAGGTTAGCTAAAAAATGACCAAGTTTACCTAGGTTAGCTCCAATATGATCCATTTAACCTACATTAGCTCCAAAATGATCCATTTAACCTACGTTAGATCCAAAATGACCTATTTACCTAGCTTAGCTCTAAATTGACCTACACACTTAGCATTTTTACCTACCTTAGCCCAAAAATGACATTTTTACCTACATTAGTTAGAAAAGAAGAAGATAAAGAATAGGAGAGGAGAGAAAGAAAGAGAAGATAAATTCTTCTTCTTCTTCTTTTCCTCCTCTTCCTTTTCTTCTAGCTAGTCTTCTTCTTCTTCTTCTTCTTCTTCTTCTTCTTCTTCTTCTTATTCTTCTTCTAACTTTCATCTTTCCCAATTTGCAGATTTGCTTTCGACGAGGAAGCTTGCATTGATGGAGTGTCCTATTCTTCTGTTGAGTCCTTGTTGTTTATGAAAACTTGTTTGGATATGTATGTCTATATGGATATGTTGTTGGAAACTTGTTTCTGGATATGTATGTATATATGGATATGTTGGACTTTGTTGAACTATGTTGTTGGATATGCTGGATTTGATGAAATATGTTGTTGGACATGCTGTTATATGTTGTTGGATATGTTGGAGTTGTATGTATGTATATCTGTGTGTTTTCCTGTCAAATTAAATGGATTCAAATAAAAACAGGGGATATAGCCTCTTTGCCGTCCGCTAGCAGACGACAAAAAGGACACGTGGCAGCTACCTGTAGAAACTAGGAACACTGATTACCTATTTGGCCACTTTGCCGTCTTCCAGCAGACGGTAAACTGGCCAAATAGGACTGGCAAACAGGGCCAGCTATGCCGTCCGCCAGCGGATGACAAAGATTCAAAGCTCTTTGTCGTCCGCTGGCAGACGACATAGCTAGCCACGTGGCAGCTTCTTAGTGCTGGCCGAGCTGAGCACTTTGCCGTCTGTTGGCAGACGGCAAAGAACACGCTGTTAACCCCTAACGGCTCTCACCCCACCCCACTGTCGTCCATGATCTTTGCCGTCTGCTGGGCTCCGACGACGGACGACACAACCCTTTGCCGGCCCTAGTTCAGACGGACAGTTTGCCGTCCGCTGGCGGACGGCATAGGACTTTGACGTCTGCCATCCATGCCTTTGTCGTCCGCCATGACAGACGGCAAAGAAGCTGATTCCAGTAGTGTGTGTTGTGTGGTAGATTCTGATGGTTGAGGTCATTTGCCACGAACGAGGGATGTGGTCGGGCTTTCTATCAACCTAGTTGTTGCCCTAGCACCCAAAATTGTAACGACGTTGTATGTTTTTTGTGTCAAGGGTATAAAGGATCAACATTGTATATAAGAGTGTGCTATGCTGACAGTCCCATTTAAACTCACAGTTATTTTCACATTTCCAAAATGAATAAAAGCCAGAGCATGAGAAAGAATCTTATGATCCATTCACCCGCTCAAGCAAATTGCTTATGTGTCGCCAAAGAAAGCCATGTGTAATGTTTATCGTTATTTGTCATTGGTAAATACAAGGCTAATATAAATGTAACACAAACATAATCATTTCTATAAATTCCAAGAAAACATCTTTTAGATAGTTTTTGCAATCAATTAAGTAACAACAAAAGGCCGTGTTCAGGAAATGCATACGGTTCACATGTTTTATATCAAAAGTTTATGATCTGGATTTCCGAATATAGGCGCTACAGGTGCACTCTGTGCAAAACAGTGTGGATCAAACAAATTGACCGGGTTTAGGGATAAAAAAGTTTAGCACACCTTGTTGCTTGCTTCACATACCATGAACGTGGGCACCCTGCTACACCGCGGCGACACTAATTAAGCTAAAAACGGAAAGCATAAACATGGTAGGAATACTATAGCTAACATCGCCGAGAAACAGTTTGAGATAAATTATGCTTTTATTTCACCGTTCGATCAAGTCGTCTTTACACATTTTGTCATGCAAAAAACTGATTAAGGCATATGAGGAACTAGATTAATTCATGTTTCACTTGCAGTATGGCATCTCCATCCAAGTGCTGCCGCTGATGTTGTTGTTGATGCTGAATGTTCATCATCTGTTCTTGCTTCGGAATCACCATCTGCTGCTGCTGCTGCATCTGGACATATTGTTGTTGGTGTTGTTGCTTCTGAATCATCATCATCTGCTGCCGCTGCATCTGAATATGCTGTTGCTGCATCGGAATCTGCTGCTGCTTCTGAATATGGAGTTGTTGTTGCTGCATCTGAATCTGCTGCTGTTGTTGTTGCTGCTGCCTCTGAATCATCATGGCGTGCAGCTGCTGATGGTGCCTGCCTCGCCACGACGGGCACAGGGCCATGTTCCTGTACATCTCCACGAACCTGCCCATGAGCACGTCGCCGCCTTCCCGGAGGGCCTTCTGCCCAATCTCGTTCGCCCGATCGATGAAGAACTCTAAAATGACTTCCCAGAACAGCTCCGCGTCGACACAGTTGGTGATCTGCGGCTCGTCACCCTCGTCCCCCGCCTCTATGCTTAGCGCGACCTTGTACCCGGCCTTGAGGTACTTGGCGTAGGGCTCCTCGTACCCGCCCTTCTCGACGGCGTCGCAGACGTCGCCCTCCCACCGGTGCAGGAACGCGGCCTCGATGCGGTAGAAGGCCGGCATGAAGTTGAGGCGCGCCTGGCCGCCGCCGCGGCCGGCGCACGCTATGGCCACGCGGTCGTGCGCGAGCGCGGCCTGGTGATCGTCGTCGAAGGGGCCGATGTCGCGGCCCCCTCGCTTCGGGTCCATGACGTGGGCCATCCATCCCTTGCCTGGGTCGTGGTGCACTCCGAAGTACCTAAACCTCGGTGCCGGTGCCGGTGCCGATTGCGGCGTGGCGTTCCCGGGCGCGCCCTGCGCGTGCCGGGGCGGCGTGGGAGCAGGGGCGGCGACCGCGACGGCTGCGGGGTTTGTTGGCAGTGGCGTGCCACCCGTAGGCGCTCCCTGCGTCGGTGCGTGGCGCTTGGCTGGCGGAATGGCCGTCCCCATCGTCGTTGGCGGTCGTTTGCGTGGGGAAGGCGTGGCGGGGTTCGCCACCGCCAGCGCTGGCTGCGTGGGCGGCACTGGCATTCGAGGCTTCGCCGACGGGACGGCGGCGCCGACTGGACGGGTGTTCGCCGGGACGCCGGGTCTCGCTGCCTGCATACGTGGCATCGGTGAGGGAGCTGCTGGTATGGGGGCACCGCCGAGGTTACCGCGGCTCATCGGACGTGGCAGCACGGCAGCGCCCGGCGCTCCCTGCGTGTGTGGCAGTGGCATGGGAGACCCCGCGGTCGGGACCGCACGAGGGTGCGCCTGAATGCCGGGCGCTCTTGGCGCCGCCGCGGCCTGCATCTTCATCTGCGGCGTCGGGGCTGCTCTCACGGCAGTGCCGAGGTTAACGTAGGTGCTCATCACCGGCCGCGGCACGCCGGCCCCCTGCGCGCGTGGAGTTGCAGCGGGAGGCCTCGGCGTCGGGGCGCCGGCGCCGGGGTTGGAGCACGGCGTCATGCTGTCGAAGCGTGGGTGAGTGGGTGTGTGCGCAGTAGTCGGCTGCTGTGAAGATCTGGGTGGGTGCTCAGACGAGTTGGCAGAGCTGCGTTCGTCAGCTGCTGCTTAAATAGAAGCCGCAGGCCAAGCGAGAGGCCGGGTCGGTTTCGCCACGGCTGCTCCTACACAGCACGCGTCGTGGAGTCGGGGCCGGAGTCGGATTCCAGTGTGGAGTCGGATTCTCGGTCTCGGAACAGCACGGCGCGGCAGGCCGTGGAGTTTAATTACCCGGCCGGGAAAACCGCGTCTAAACCGAAGGCGTATTTCTGACGAACAAAGAAAATGGCTGGAAAGCGGGTTCTCAGTGTTTACGAAATACTTGGCAGAAGGTGGGTTTGTCGGTTTCGCAATTCCAGCTTGAAGGCGGCAGTTCCAAACCTCCAACTCCAACACACTCGAATCCACCACCGCTCGCCGTCGGTAATGCCGATTCCGCGCCGCCTGCCCTGCCTTCCCGCTGTCGCCGTAGCCGCCAGACGCTCGACCGCGAGCCTCGCCGTCTCCCATGGTGGGACCGGCGGGAGGCCCTCGACGGCCATCCTGGCCGCCGCCGCGACGGCAGCCGCGGCGGCGGGCCGCGCCTCCGAGTGCCAGTCGCTCCTCCTCCGCATGTCGCGCCGCCGCGGGGCCTCCCGCCTCGACATCGTGTCCTCCCTCCTCGCCTCCTCCCCGACCCCGCAGCCGCAGGTGTTCGACCTCCTCATCCGCACCTACACCCAGTCCCGCAAACCCCGGGAGGCATTCGAGGCCTTCCGCCTCCTGCTCGACCGCCGCGTCCCCATCCCCGCCGCCGCCTCCAACGCGCTCCTGGCCGCGCTCTCCCGCGCCGGATGGCCCCACCTCACCGCGGACGCCTACCGCCTCGTCCTGTCCTCCGACTCCGAGGTAAACACCTATACGCTTAACATCATGGTCCACAGCTACTGTAAAGCCCTACAGTTCGATAAGGTTGATGCCGTAATCTCCGAGATGGAGAAGAGATGCGTGTTTCCGGATGTGGTAACCCATAATGTGATGATTGATGCTAGATTTCGTGCTGGGGATGTTGAGGCGGCGATGGCAGTGGTCGATTCGATGGTTAGTCAGGGGATAAAGCCAGGAATCTTGACGTATAATGCGGTGTTGAAGGGGTTGTGTAGGAATGGAAGGTGGGATAAAGCGAGGGAGGTGTTCAGGGCAATGGGCGAGTGTGGGGTGGCTCCCGATGTTCGGAGCTCCAACATGTTGATTGGGGGATTTTGTAGAGTTAAGGAGGCTGATGAGGCAATGAAGTTTTATAAGGAGATGCGACGTCGTGGAGTCACACCAGATATTGTGAGCTTTAGTTGCCTGATTGGGTTGTTTGCAAGGAGGGGGAAGATGGACCATGCGGCGGCCTACTTGAGGGAGATGAGAGAGTTCGGATTGATGCCTGATGGTGTGATTTACACAATGGTCATTGGTGGATATTGCAGGGCTGGGTCAATGTTGGAGGCACTGAGAGTCAGGGATGAGATGGTTGGCCGTGGATGTTTGCCAGATGTGGTAACTTACAATACCTTGCTGAATGGGCTTTGTAAAGAGCGTAGGTTGTCTGATGCAGAGGAGCTTTTGACTGAGATGAGGGAGAGAGGGGTTCCACCAGATTTATGCACCTTCACAACTTTAATTCATGGGTATTGTAGGGAGGGTAACATAGAGAAGGCATTGCAACTATTTGAAACAATGCTGCATGAGCGTTTGACGCCAGACATTGTGACATACAACACTTTGATTGATGGAATGTGCAGACAAGGTGATCTGGGCAAAGCTAATGAGCTATGGGATGATATGCATTCTCGAGAAATCTTCCCCAACCACATTACCTACAGCATCCTGATAGACAGCCACTGTGAGAAGGGACAAGTGGACGATGCATTTGGGTTTTTGGATGAAATGATAAACAAGGGGATTGTGCCAAACATCATGACCTATAATTCCATCATTAAGGGTTACTGCCGGTCTGGAAATGTACTGAAGGGGCAACAATTTTTGCAGAAGATGAGGGATGCCAAGGTGTTGCCTGATTTAATTACTTACAACACCCTAATCCATGGTTATGTTAAAGAAGAGAAGATGCATGAAGCCTTTAATTTGCTTAACATGATGGAGAATGAAAAGGTTCAACCAGACACTGTGACGTATAATATGATTATAAATGGGTTTTCTGTACATGGTAATATGCAAGAAGCTGATTGGGTTTACAAGAAAATGGGTGCTAAAGGAATTGAACCAGATAGATATACATACATGTCCATGATAAATGGTCATGTTGCAGCTGGGAACTCGAAGGAGTCATTTCAACTTCATGATGAGATGCTTCAGAAAGGGTTTGCTCCTGATGACAAATTCTGAGGGTATTATTTTCCTCCATACTGGAATCTAATTGATGCTATGGTTAATTCAACGATGAGAAAGGAAGGCAATTTGCAGTTTGTTTAGATCGTCAGGATTTTTGCTCCAACAAGTATTTATAGACTTGAAGGTGAGCATGAGAAATTCTGCAGTTCAGCATTAAAATATCGGTAAGGTTGTGCGCACTGCCCTTCTACAATGCCATAGTGAAATCAGCAATGGTATATGTTTCCTACTTTACTAACTTCGTAAGATGCAATATTGTTCTGTACAAGTATCTGTTCTTCTGAATTCTGTTAGAGAATTCTGTTTGACCGACATTCTTTTGCATTCTACTCCCTCCGTTCCAAAATAGATGACCCAACTTTGTACTAATTTTAGTAAAAAGTTAGTACAAGGTTGAGTCATCTATTTTGGAACGGGGAGAGTATCACTCTAGGTGGTTTGTGATTTGGTATTGACCGTTGTAATTTTCTGCAGGCATCTGATTAAATTTTGGAGTGAATTCCATGGAAATTTTCATTATTGGGTGGTCCAAGGGTAGCAAAAATTTCCACACAAGTGGCCTCTCTAGATGTGCTTTCTTCACCAACGTGCAGAAATATTCTTCAAGGGCTCAGGACTCGGGAGGTGTGCTTTTGTTTTCTGAACATCGGAGGAATCTAGCATGCTCTAAATTTCTCAGGTACTTTATTTCTTACCCAGAATTCCTTTTTTAGATGAAATATTAGTGTAATGCACTAATGCCTGATATACAACTACATTTTGCAAATTGGTAATTTAGTAACATATTGCCAGGTTATTCCCTGTTTCCTGTTGCTTAGTTGACCCTATCACCTCTAATAGCCCTGCTTGAGCAGTTCAACCTACCAATCTACTCCCTATGTCCCATAATGCAAGACATTATGGGACGGAGTATATTTTAGGGCACACAAATAGCAATACAGGCAGCACTTTCTTTCTTAGCAGTCACAACTTAACACAAAAACATTGTAAAATTTAACAATTGCTCCTAAAAATATCATGAGTTAAGATCAAGTCCTCTTGATCAGATGCTGCTGAACTGAGTAAGACTGCAAACTACTTTTTTCTTCCCTTTTTTCAGGGTGAATGCAAATCACTTTTAGCATGAACTATTAACATCACACGAAACTGATCAAAAGGGAAGAACCAGGCGTCCATAAAAAGGTATCACTATCCGAAAGTCCTATTCTGAGCTCGAGCTCAGATGGACCTGTTATCCCAGCCGTTATCTGGCGCTAAGATTCGTATCAGGAGATGTATTTTACTGCGTATTCTGAGTAGTATGAGATGCTTTTCCACAGACTATGGCCCACTCACCAACCGCATTTATTGGGACGTCCATCATCCAGCACTAGCCGGCTCAGATGGACACTAGCGTAGTGGTCCACGGCTCAGCCGTTACACACCCAACGGTGTCTTCCAGCGAACATTTTTTAATATATACATGCACTGTATTGACCGCACACACCCTTGCTCCTGAAGATTCACTTTTCTTCCTCGCAGCCTGAAGAAGTGCTGCCACCCATCCCTTGCCCCGACTATCTCGACAAGGTGGTCACCTTCGCCTGCGCGCCGGAGCTCGCTTCTACAAATGCGTCAGGAAAGATGTAAGTGCCCATCTACCATGAAGAACAATCTTTTGGAGCTTGGATCCCCACTCCGTGTCTGAAGTTAGAATCCATGCAGGCTGAGGTATGCAGGTTCATTAGATCCACGGACACGTACCTGCCGGAGCTGACTCGCGCAGGGCTGACGCAGCCGTACGTGCTGCAACCCCCCTTGCTATGCACCCGTTGGCTCCCCTTTAGCAGAGATACAGGCTTGACCACAACTTCGACCATGGCAGCCAGGCGGAGATTCAGCTAGCACATGTGCGCATGCAGCAGCCGAGCCTCCCCCGTGTCGCGCCTCCACGCTGCTCCGCCAACAGCCAGCGCACGGCGCTACTCTTGGCCGGAACCAGTGATTACGAGTCGAACGACTAGTCTAGACTAGTCGCTCGACTAGTCTACGAGTCGCAGAGTGGATGTCGACTCATTTTCTCGTGTAGACTACAAATACGAGTCGAGCCGTGGATGGACTAGTCGACATATATGAGTCGAGCGACTCAAAAAAGAGAGCTGCCTCAGCTGGGACGAGGCGCCGCCAGCACCCACTGCCCTGCCGCCGCCGCCGCCACCCACCGCAGGGACGGCGGATGGCGCAGCCAGGTGCGGCGGCCGGCTGGAGCTTGTGCTCAGGCGGCGGCCATGGCCGTGACCCGTAGGGGCACGCGGCCTTGAGACGGGAGAGAAGGAAGAGAGAGAGAGGAGAGGAAAGGAGGAGGCATGGTGGTGGTCGGCGGGCTCGCGGCGGCAGCGGCCGGGACCGGCGGAAGGCGGCAGGAGGCGCGGGTCGCGTGCACGCGTGCTCTCGTGCGTGATGGCGCTGGCGGCGGCGATTGGAGAGGTCGGGAGCTAGGGTTCCAGTGGCTGGGGGCTAAGTAGGCTGGCCATTTGGGCCCAAATGGGCCAGCTGGGGGGTGATGCGTGGTGCTGGGCTAGTATTTAGACAGTGGCTGGTCCTATTCCATACCCACTTGGGCCCAGAACACTGCATAGCTCAATGATTTAGACAGTGGCTGGTTTTATTGCATACTGTACTGTTAGTAACTTAGTATATACTACATACTACCACTAGGTATTAGTAGCTGAGTACTACAGTACCATGTCGACTAGTCTAGCACTAGTCTAGACTAGTCTCGATTAGTCTATGAGTCTCTACCTCGGAACGACTCGTCGACTTGTCGACTCGTAAACCTTGGCCGGAACCAACTTCCTCCTCGTCCTGTCAGCTAATCCAACCCTAGTCCTGCATGACAAATCAGCAAACTGATTACACATCCTGGCCGAGACTGTTCGTTTGTAGTGGAGCACATATACTTAACACATTTCTTTCATCATACTTCTGCACAGTCATGAAGATTTCAAAACATACTCTGGAAACATTACAATTAAACCTATTTTTTGGGCAAATGACTCCTGAAAAGCTCACCGGATATTCTTCACACAAAATGTAACTATCACTAGTGCCTAATCATAATTTGAACAGTTTTTTTTACAAACACTTGATCTCTGGCTATGGTGATGGGTCACAACTTTATGAATTTTGCATAGTGCTACAGGGCCTAAGTTTAGATGAAACACAATCGCTGCTGTCTAGCCGCTACATACATTCAGGAAAAGTGGAAAACTCATGCCTTCGAACTTGTTTTGTCTTAGTAAGTTTAGACATTTCCAAAATCAGCAGCACTAATTTATATGGTCAATTACTTTGAACTTCTGTTCATAATAAGCATCAATTTTATAAAATCCAAGGGGCCCTACAGATTGCAATAAGCTGAATATTAACCGTAGACATTTCGAAAATTCAGGAGCACTAGTTTCCTAAAATTCAGCAGCAGTAGTCTGTCATATTAAACCTACACACTCCGAAATTCAGCAGCAGTAGTTGTCCTCCCGTAGTCTTAGTCAATTTCTTAAAATCCAAGGCTAAGGGTTTTACCTTCAAAAGCATGCACACAAATTCATGAAAACCTGGGGACAAGCCAACATTTGAAACTAAACCAGACATGCCAAGCTGGAACACAGTTCGACTTATTACATTACCTAGCCACTGGCCAAAATGCAGAGTTACAAAAAGCATGTCAACACCTAAAAATTAACCATGGTCTAGATTACGCCGAAGCTAAAACATGTCACCTACAGGCATATGCCTCAATAGAAAATAAGATAACTGAAAAGACATCATGAGCCCATCAGCTCCTACCCAGTGCATTCCCCAAACTGCATTCTACTTGCCAGCCTTAGTTCCATTGCTTTATTACAATTATTTTGCTGGTGCCCCTCAAACTGCATTCTACTTGCAAGTGCAAAACCTAGTCCTCTTGCTTAGACCTTCATATGGAGCCTTCTCCGTACTTGTCGTTGGCCGTCCCATATCTTTCTTTTTCGCTGGAGCCAGCAGTCCTTCCAACCTGTTGCTTGTCCTCGAAACCGAATCATTGTCAGATAAAACAACAGTAGCTGCTTTGACGTTCATGTTTTGTTCCGCCGAAACCAGCTCCATGGGGGTCTGATTCACCACAGCCCCTGTCTGCCAGTCTATCCTCGAGGCCAAGACCATCCCTAACTTCTGTATAGGGTAACATCACTGTCAAATTCGACTTGAACAACTCCATCAATCGATTGTAGGCTTCAAAACTAGTGTCGCCCAGCCTGACTAGTTCCATTGCGTGCATGTACATCGTGAAGTTTCTGTACGAAAAAGGGTTGTTCTGCATGCTGTCCTTCTGGTATTGTATCAGATGAGGTGGCAAAATGTCGCGAGCATCCCTCGTCCATGTCTTCACTATATGCTTAGCTGGTATTTTTTAGCCCTAATGAAACCAAGCATCTCTTCATTATGTGCACGCTTTTCATGAGCTTCTCAGATAAAAATTGTACTCCACTGTATATAATTTACTAACAACAAATCAGTGAGAGCATCACCAGAAGCCTCGCCCAAGGAGTCGAATGTAATGCCGAGAACAGGTGTGATCACATTTTTAGCTGGTTTCTTTGCAAAACATCTGACAGCCGTGTCGATCGCACTGATTCGATTTGGGCTGGTGTCTTGCTTGGTGCAGCAACACCAAGCCTTAGCCTGCAAACACCAGGCAGTAGGCATGATTTATCCAAATGCATTGTACCAACTGCTCTGAATCCACAAAGCTATAGCTGACTGATTTCTTTTCTGCAATCCAATTTTCTATAATAAAAATCCTTGCATCTCTCATATCAAATGGTTTCATTTTAATACAGTTTGCTAACTACTCTAAACCCATACATCTCTAGCTGCCTGATTTCTTTAGTGTTGTCAATTTTTATTTAATAAAATAATTTCCATCTGTGATCACATAATTAAGCTTTTCATTATCTGACTGTCAATAATCAGAC